ATTTTTAATAAGTATGTTAATATTTCTCTCTAAAAATCAAGATCCCCTGTGACGATCCAACAATGTGTGCTGCTAATGCAATCTGTCACACAATCAATCATCAACCAGTTTGTTCCTGTCCACCAGATTATACAGGAAACCCACATCTTAGATGCGATAAAGGTAAACCACCAGTATCAGCAGGTTTGCAGTGTCAAATCAGAAACAAAATACCCGGTGAAACAAAAGTTCATCAAGAAATAATTATATATTGCTTAGTTTATTAATATTTTTGTAAATTGATGAAACAGTTTTTTAGTATAACTATTAATTGAACTAATTGTGAGGACACATTTTGGTTTTGCTTTATTATCTGTCATGAGAAACAGAACAGTCATTCTGTAATGTATTGGCTCAATCTATTATAGTAATACTTAGTTTCTGTCTGTCCTGAAAATACACGTGCATCTTACTATTTAAATGGATGTAAATATACTTTAGTAGACATTTTGTGCAACAAAATATTAAAAGCTTATTAAAAATGTTTAATGTTAGGTCATAGAATAACATTATAAGTTTAATTATTGATAGTATTAAGTATGATAAAGTTTAGCCCTAATTAAACTAAAGCAAAAAATGTACGCAAATTACAGTGTTAAGTTATCTCCATATTGAATATAGGTTTTACTTAATAAAGGCTTAACTAATGTTAGGCTTAAGACAAATAGACTTATAGATTTTAGTGTCTGCAATTAGAATTCCCTTTTATTATTTTAGAAATCCTGTATTTAAAGAAGCAGTGTTGCAGTAAAGATAATTATTATTATACCACAAATGTTTTGTCAGTCTTTTCTAGTTGTTTTCTATATTATGCTCCATTTTTTCTTCCGTAAATACTCAATCATATTTTTTTTTACAGTTGAATGTGTAATAAATGAAGATTGTCACAGCAATGAGATGTGTATAAAGAACAAGTGTATAGGTGAGATCTCCATAGACACATTTTTATTTTGCATGGGCTAAAATTAAGTTCCAAAGCAGGAAAATATTTTTTTAGTTATAAATTATTTTTCATTAATATATCATAAATCTCCTAACATAAAATATTTTTTTTATAAAGTGTTTTTGATTTGTCAGAAATTTGAAATAAATATAGAAAAGTTCACTTTGACTTAAATGTATACCTTAATTTTAGTCAGAATTGTTATTTTAAACCTTAAATCATATATTAGAGCTGAAAATTTTATGTGGGTATGCCAGTTTTCTTTTTCTTAAATTTTATTACACATATGTATTTTTGAAAAGCCAAAAAAAAAAAAAACCTTTTGGACTTTGAATTAGTATAGTAAAGCTAATTTAAAAAAGAAACAAGAACAAAGCCTGCTAAGCATGAATTGATATTGACTCTTTGTTCCTCTTTCAACTGCTTGAAGATATAAGGGTTTTTGTTTGATGCATTCTATATCACAGGATTAGTGTTTACATTATTAACTACTAATTATTAGAGCATGGTTGTTATCTTTTTCTGATACATAATATAATATGTTCTTATATTTTGACAAGAAAATTGAAAAATATTTAAATATTACTTGTTGAAATTGCTTCTTGAATTACAGTACAAAACCGGATTTTTACCATGATTAATCCTATTCTCTACAGATTCTTGTATAAGCCAGAATATTTGTGGAGAGAATACTATCTGTTTGGCACAAGACCATCACGTGAATTGTAGATGTAAAGATGGCTACTATGGTGACCCTATTGCTGGCTGTAGAAGTAAGCAAAAGTGTTTAGAATTTATAAATAGTAAAACTGTTAGATGGCATTATTGATAACTACATACAGATTGCTGTTTGAAGTTACTTATGTCTGCTCTCAAGAGGCCTGAGAAATTACGATTCACTTTATACAGAAATACCAGGAATTGTATTCTACTTTTTTGTGGACTTGATTTGTCGATTGGACCCTAAGTTTGTATAGTCTACTTGTAAAATGATCAGCATAACTAACCGATAGATTTGATATAAAATGTGTTTATATTAGTGGATGTTTAATTTTTCACTTCAAGATTGTATATTCTGTTACTCCACTTACATTTTCATATTCTTGTATAACTTTATTTAATCCCTTTGTAAGAAAAAGAAAGCGATTTAAATATATTATGGTATGGTAATCATACAAAATTTTGTTTCTTCCTAAATTGTAGGAATACTCAGATGTGTCGGTGATATTGATTGCCCAGCTGGTGAATTTTGTTATAAAGACGGAGTTTGTAGAAGTAAGTCTAATTTTTCTGTTGATCCTAGTAATCCGCTATAGAAATGTATTGACCATACATAGATTATTTCATTCTTCTTCTTCTTCAGCATATTTATTTAAATTGTAACATGCTATACAGTTAACGATTTGAAATATTTTTATTATTTGTTTTCACTTCACAGGATTTAGATGCGTTATAATGAAGCTTGTACTTTCTATACACTGGTTATATTTTGCTAATTTCTGAATATTTTTATTTTATTCAGGTAGGTGTAAATCTAATCGTGACTGTGGAGTCAATGAACGATGTGAAAATGGAAAATGCATCTGTAAGTATTAATGAAATTCTCTGTAAGTTAATTAACTGGTACTACTTTCTCTTCAAAATGTGCATATTTTCAAGTTTATCATCAACTGTTTTTATTAGAATTAGTTACGTAATGTGCATATTTTCAAGTTTATCATCAACTGTTTTTATTAGAATTAGTTACGTAATGTGCATATTTTCAAGTTTATCATCAACTGTTTTTATTAGAATTAGTTACGTAATGTGCATATTTTCAAGTTTATCATCAACTGTTTTTATTAGAATTTGTTACGTATTGACAGTCTTACTTTGTTTTAAACTGTGTTTTTCTTTCATAAAATAATTCTGTGGACTTACACTGCTAGAAACCGGGTTTCGATACCCGTGGTGGGCAGAGCACAGATAGCCCATTGTGTTGCTTAACTACAAACAAACATAAAATAGTTCTGATTGCATATTTTAATAAATAAACTTAATGCAGAGTTTCTAAAGATAATTATGATTCTTTATTGAATATTGGTATCAAGTTTTGTTATTTAACTATTTATTATAAATTAATTTATATTAAAATAAATTAGGTTATTATTTAGTAATTACCCAGTTCAATATTATGAAGATTTGACCACTTCAATTTACGTATGTATGTCACGTCAGGAACTGTTTTTTTTTCTCATTTAACCCTACAACAACTTGTTCAGAAATGTTTAGACTACAATATTTAATACAATTCAATGCTCTTTCTCAATAATTTATATATTCTACTTACGTTAACAGTTTTTCTTTTAATCCTTTCGACTGTTTACAAGTCAGGTTAATATTTCAATCATGTTTTTCGATACAGCTATCTGTCGAAGTGACACAGAATGCCCCGAGGGACAGGCATGTATTGGTGGAAAATGTGTGACAGGTAAATTTTGTTTGTCATATTGTAATTCTATGTCAATGTTAAATAACGTTATTGTATCTTCTTTTAAAATTAAAACTGGAATGACTTATTCCTTACTTTTGTAATAAACTATTTTATATTTTATGATGGAACAGTTTTGAATGTTAAAATGATTTTATTTTACTTTGACAGCACCAATTGATCTCTTGTCATCTACTTTATGAGTCATACTTAAGTTTATGATTTGTTATTTTTGTGAGAAATTCAGTCACATTTTAATGCTGTTATTTGTCAGAATTTATAGAGGAATGATGATGATGAGATACAAAGGTTTGATCACTTTATTTGATTTCAAAATTAATGAGGTCTCTAAATTTTGAAAGTGTTAAGTACATTGATCTTATTGTTTAATATGGTGTATATAGTGGATGGTGTAAACATAATTATTATTTTTAAATTTGGCCAGGCATGGCCAGGTGGTTAGGGTGATCGACTCGTAATCCGAGGGTCGCGGGTTCAAATCCCCATCACACCAAACATGCTCGTCCTTTCAGATGTGAGGGCATTATAATGTGACGGTCAATCCCACTATTCGTTGGTAAAAGAGTAGCCCAAGACTTGGTGGTGGGTGGTGATGACTAGCTGCCTTCCCTCTAGTCTTACACTGCTAAATTAGGGACGGCTATCGCAGATAGCCCTCGTGTAGCTTTGCACAAAATTAAAAAACAATTTTTAAATTTACATTATTGACTCTTCCTTTTTTTCCACTCAGTCGACAGATGTAACTCTGATTACGAATGTAATGACGTCCTAGCTTGCCGTGCTTCAGGAAAAGGCTACGATGATTGTCTTGGTAAGTTCTCTATCAGTCAGAAAACTGTGCATAATTACTTTTTTGCTACTCAGTTTCCTTAATTGTTTACACTATTCTTAGTTGTCATTTTTAAAAGCTACCTTATTTTTAAAAGTTAACATATTTTAAACTACAAAAAAAAATTTAAATATAGAACAGTTATAATATGCTCATAGTGTACATCAGTTGTACAGGAATATTAAACGCTGTTGCCTTATTGTCTATTTTTTCATCTTGACCTACAGACCCATGTGCAACTACAATATGTGGTAGAAATGCTCTTTGTGTTGTGATAAACCATCTTTCTCAATGCGAGTGCCCAAAAGGTTTTATTGGAAATCCTATAGATGACAGAGTTGGATGTAAAAAAGGTATGAAGTGTGTTTTTTTTCCTATTGTATTCATCATTTGAAAAGATTAAAGCACGTGGTTCTGATTTTTTAAATATGGTTTGATATTCAATTTTTATAACAAATATTTTCTTCTCTTCTTTAGCGGAATGTATCACCCATGATGACTGTCGTCCTGATAAAGTTTGTGATAACAACAAGTGTGTTGGTATGTATTATATTGTCTACTGTTCATCTCGCAAGTTCTGAAAATATTGATGCCCTAAAATTGAAAATTTAAAATAAGCTTTGTAATTTCTGTGTAGTTCTACCTGAGTCACAGAAAACAATTAAAAACCCTTTGTTATAATTTTTTAGATCCCTGTAAACTGCAAAGAATATGTGGGGATAATGCCTACTGTGTTGCACAAGACCACTCGGCTATCTGTCGTTGTCGAGATGGTTACGAAGGGGACCCTCTGGCCGGGTGCCGTCTTATTGACTACTGTGGCAACAGACCATGTCACCCAAGTGCCGACTGTAAGAACAAGTTTGGAGGATATGACTGTGAATGCCCTCTTGAGAGAAATATTGGTAATCCGTACGGTGAACCTGGATGTAAGTAACTAAATATGTTTTCACATTGATTAACTAGACACATAACTACCAATTTTTCACGTTTATAATGAAGTGTATATAATCAGTTGTCTCTGAAGTATATTATGATTCTATGCATATAGGTGTCGACTTTACACTAAAAGTGAATACTATAAATTTTAACGAATATTCGTCCCAAAATATCGACAGTTAGAATTCTTCATCCTTTTAGAATCATCATCAGTTGGGTACCTTATATCATAAAATTATAAAGTTGATGTTGACAAGAATACATCAGTTGGTTACCTTATATCATAAAATTATAAAGTTGATGTTGACAAGAATATATCAGTTGGGTACCTTATATCATAAAATTATAAAGTTGATGTTGACAAGAATATATCAGTTGGGTACATTATATCACAAAATTATAAAGTTGATGTTGACTAGAATATATCAGTTGGGTACCTTATATCACAAAATTATAAAGTTGATGTTGACTAGAATATATCAGTTGGGTACATTATATCACAAAATTATAAAGTTGATGTTGACAAGAATATATCACAAAATTATAAAGTTGATGTTGACAAGAATAAATCATCATCAGTTGGGTACCTTATATCACAAAATTATAAAGTTGATGTTGACAAGAATAAATAAAACATTCGTTATTAACGGAAGTACTTATGTTAACTCTGCGATTAAATGCACATTCAGGTCGAGGACCTAACGAGTGTCCGAATGGAGACGTTGACTGTCCTCCAAATGCTGCTTGTGCTTCTGATGGATTGGGTCCACCAAAATGTAAAAGTGAGTACATGTATAAAATATTCTACTTTTTAATTACAAAAGTGATCCTGAACCTATAAAAATTGTTGTTAAGTACTTTCTTCTTTTATTTTAGTTCATATCATTTTGTAATTATCTACATTTTTTACATAATTTTGGTGACAGAAATATTTTCTTTCTCTTGACTAATTTCTCAAAAATAAAAAAATGTTTTATGAAACCAATTCATATTTTCGTTACTATCATCAGATCCTTGTTTGGAGCCAGATGTTTGTGGTCCAAATGCTCTTTGTCGTGTTGAAAACCACAGAGTAATATGCTACTGCCCAGAGCAGTTCACTGGAGATCCTAACGAGTTAAGCCGTGGCTGTGTTCGATGTAAGAAATTAGATTTTTTGTGTACAACATGATAGAGAGTATTTAGTTTTTATTCAAAATTAGTAGCCACATACACATTTTATGAAGTTTGCCTTATTATTTGAAAGATGAGCACCATAAAAATATAACCTAAGGTTTTGTGCAATATCTGTGTATTTCAATGATCAGCAGTTTGCTTAACGTGCTTGTATGAGGAGTTAGAGAGTTTTTTCTATATTCCAGTGCCCACCGTGTGTAGCAATGATCGTGAATGTCCTGCCGGGCTTGTTTGTGATAACAATAGATGTAGACGTAAGTAACCAGCAAGTTTATTGAAACAAGAAGAGATGACAGAATTTTTTTAATTACCTGTAGCTATACTGGGTAAAAAAAAGCTTTAAATATTAAAATATTTGTCCTGATAACTATTCAGTTGTATTTGTACTCCGACATATAGTGTATCCTGATTTATATAACTATAAAGCTGATATAGATAAGCATGATATTTGAGTGAATAGAAATTTTAACCTTTCAACCTTTAATATCATTTATCTAATTCTCTTTGTTCCTATTGGTTAAAACTTTGTCTTTTTTTTAGCTCCCTGTCATTCAGATCCAGACTGTGCTCTAGGAGAACTGTGCATACAAGGTCACTGTATACAGGGCTGTAGAGAGGACTCTGACTGTTTGGGTGGTGAGATCTGTGTTTCTCGCAAATGTGTTGGTGGGTATTTTGTTAATATATAGTAAGTCTTTCTTAATAACCGACACTGTCATTATTTGTCAGATCATTAATATCGGTGTCAGTATATGTAACACGATGTAGATAGTTTCAGTAAGTGTTGGTTATGTTACTGGTAGCATAAGTCACATCAGTGTTAATTGTATCGTTATATATAACGATAATAATATCAGTACATACTGTCACATTGTAGTACATTAAGTTGATAGTATTACATAGTAACGGTTTAATTAACATGATTCTTCCAGTTGGATGTAGAACTGACAACGACTGTGCCCTAACTGAATCGTGTGTGCTGAATAAATGTCAAAGTAAGTTTTATTTTTTTTCAGTTAAAACCTTTTTTAGAAGAGACTATATTTTTAAAAGAGCTTGGACTGCTGTGTTGTTTTTTTTTGGCAATCATATTGAAAACAAAAGATCTTGAATAATTATTTCATACAATACATTACTTGTCTACTCAACTTGTCATACACTTGAATTACTGCCCGTAAAACCTGTAAATCATGTGGATGATGTCAAATGTTCAATTTGCATAATGACACTTGCTCACAACATACATGAAATATCAATCTTCTGATTTGTATATTATTTACTTTTATAACATTGTATATAATCATTCATTGGTGTCTACATTTCTTTCTTACGTAATACTCGTTACTGTGGTAGTTTCTTCTGGTCCAGTTTTTGTGTTTTTCAACAAACATCACAGTACTAAATATTTTTACATATACGTAAATACACTAAACATCCAAGAGAATGTCAAGAACTGAAAATATCCGTTATTTATACCAGCTGATGGATCAAGGGACTAATCACTGTTGAATAGTAATGGTTGTACCAGTTAGTGGATCAAGGGACTAATCACTGTTGAATAGTAATGGTTGTACCAGTTAGTGGATCAAGGGACTAATCACTGTTAAATAGTAGTGGTTGTACCAGTTAGTGGATCAACGGACTAATCACTGTTGAATAGTAATGGCTGTACCAGTTAGTGGATCAAGGGACTAATCACTGTTAAATAGTAGTGGTTGTACCAGTTAGTGGATCAAGGGACTAATCACTGTTTAATAAATAAAGTTGTTGTAACATAATGTCTTGTATACACACACACATTGATTTATTGTTGTTGATTGCAGACCCGTGTATCACTAATGGGGTGTGTGGAATTAATGCTCTCTGTAAAGTAGTGAATCATAAATCTGAATGCTACTGTCCACCAGGGTTCTCTGGTGATCCTCGGACCAGCTGTATTAGAGGTGAGTAGAGTTCATGATAAGGACAATTGTAACTTGTTGATGCTGTCGGAGTATGTACGAAAAAAAAAAAAAGAAGTGAAATCTTATACATCATTGTCACAAATTGTTTTAAAAGCATTGTTTCTTTTAAGAATTTTTTAATGGTGTATTGTGTACTGGTTTAGCGGACTCGGTGTTTATATTAACAATGTGTTATATGAAGGTTAATGTTTACTAACAATGTATTTTATTCTTGTGTTCTGTTGTGTGTTAGATTTAAAAGACTTAACAGTGAGGTTAATATTGTATTATAATACGATAGTTTTATTGATACTGTAACGTACAACTAAGTAAAGTAGTATCTTAACAAGATGGAGTGTGATGTTTCTTGTAGAACAACCTAAGTGTCACAGCGATGCTGATTGCCCTCCAAACTACTTCTGTCTGAATGGACAATGTAAAGGTAAATATTGGTGTTTCTGTTATAAATGTTTATAATCATTACGTGACCAATTAGAAACTGTTTATAATGTATCATTAGAAGTTGTGTATATGTTTATAGTATAATCATGAAATTAGAATTTCATTATACAAAAAATTTGTTATCGGTGAATAACGTGGCATAAAATGCAAATACGAAGTAAAAAAAAATAGGAGATAATGTCTATGAAGACAGCCATGAAGGAATCAGAAAGGTAAACCACATTCTGAAACACGTGAAATGATACTCTAATCAGCCCAATAGGGCATTCCAAGCAACAACATTATTTTCAGACTGATTCCACAAATATTTATAAATGAAAAAAACTGTACACTTGAATAACTTAGTTTTTTTCCTTTCAGTGGAGTGTACAATAGATGGCGATTGTGCTGTTGGAGAAAAGTGTTTCAGCTATCGTTGTATCGGTAAATATCATTTTGATATGTTCTTCTCCTAGGAACGTCCTTATGGTAACATTTTAGTGCACTAACTGCCGCGACAGTCGGTTTTCTTTAATCTCAATAAATCTGTTTATCTGTATAGGAATTGTCTTTTGTTAAATATATAAGTTTTAGAAGATGTATCTTTATTAAGTTGGTGATACATTAAGTTTCTTGCTTTCTATAGCATAAATAAACTGGAGCAAAAGTATTTAGAGGATAATATGTGGTTTACTTTAAATATAGAGTTTCTAACATTTAGAATAAAGATAACCTGCTCCAGAGTGTATGTGTGAAGATAACCTAATCCAGAGTGTATGTGTAAATATAACCTAATCCAGAGAGCATATTTAAACTTGTGGAGTAACTCAAAACAACCTGAAACATTAATTACTACATGAGTTATTACTCCAGTAATCACTAAGGTAGTTAAAAAGTTATATATTTGTGATGAAATGTTTCATATTACTGAACTTTTTCAATAGAACTGATTACTAAAATAATGCAAACAATTTCTAGTGTTTATATTTTTCAGGCAAATAAAAAAAAGTAACTGATAGACATGTTGGTTTAAATTTATTCTTTACGTTCTGGCATGTGTTTTTATCTGAAAACAAAAACATGTTTCCAAAAGCATTCTATAAAATGAATAAAATACAGTTATAAAAAATAACATTATTCAAATAAATACAAGTTTCTTATTACTCTCCCAGAGCTGTGTCGAAGTGATGATGACTGTCAACATAATGAAATTTGTGTGAGCAACCATTGTCAAAGTAAGTTTATATTTAACTGTTTCGTGTTCTCTCCAAGGATATTGGTGGAGCAAATGTTAACCCTTGTATATATAGTGTCAGTTACATAATGTAGCTTTACATGTTTAACAGACATTATTGTAACATTAAATTTGACACTTGTGATTGAGAATATTTTAACTATAAGTAAAAATAGAATATCTCTCCATGTCAATAATTAGTTTTTATTTATATGATTTATCATTTATTATTTTTTTAAATTCTTGTATAAATGAAAGTCTTCTGTATATTAGCCCAGCATGGCCAGGTGGTTAGGGCACTTGACTCGCAATATGAGGATCGCAGGTTCAAATCCCCATCCCACCAAACATGCTCGCCCTTTCAGCCATGAGGGGGGTATAATTTGATGGCCAATCTCACTATTCATTGGTAAAAGAGTTGGCGGAGGGTGGTGATAAATAGCTGCCTTCCCTCTAGTCTTACACTTCTAACTTAGGGATGGCTAGTGCAGATAGTCCTCATGTAGCTATGCGAGAAATTCAAACAAAACTTCTGTATATTTCTTAATGTAAAATATTATTGTTTTATAAGTTGAAAAATATAATTTTCTGTGATCCCTTACAATGATAGACCTCTTCACTGTTATTATTCTATTTAAAAGCTTGTTTAAATTTTATTTAACCTGAACTTTACTGATAAGTTTGTTTTTCTCAGTTTTTTTTTGTTTACAAGTTTGCCTAAGTATCATTTAACCAGAACTGATAAGTTTGTGTTTTCCCTAGTTGGTTGCCGCACAAGTGACCAGTGTGCTCAACATCTAGCCTGTATTAGCAACCAATGTAGAGGTAAGGGGATTTCTTGAATTCTTTTTCAGGCTCTCAACTGTGTGGATTATAAAAGATGATTTATATAATTTTGTTTTGTTTAAAACATTTTAAATACCTCTTCTATGTTTCGTAAGTAAACAAAAGGTAAAATATTTTGCAACTTTTAGGTTCTCCAAACTCAAATAAGCAGAGATTTTACAAATTTTTTTTGTTGAAATGGAAGCTAAGTAAGACTAATGTAAATCAGAAGTTAAACTTATAGTGATTCAGTAATAACTTATGTTTCTTTCACTCAGATCCATGTGAAGGAAAGGCTACTTGTGGTCCAAATGCAATCTGCAAGGTATCAATCCACCGATCTGTTTGTAGCTGTCCCCCTGGCTTTGTTGGTAGACCTAATGCCAATGTGGGCTGTATTCGTGAGCCTACCATCTGTACAAACGATGTTGATTGCCTCAGTGGTTACTATTGTTTTAATGGACACTGTAGGGGTATGTAATAATAGGTTACTATTGTATTGATATACACTTTAGAGTGAATAATAGTTTGGTATCAATGTTTTAATGGATCATGTAATGTACATAATAGTTTGGTACTGCTGTTTTAATGGATCATGTAAAGTACATAATAGTTTGGTATCACTGTTTTAATGGATCATGTAAAGTACATAATAGTTTGGTACTGCTGTTTTAATGGATCATGTAAAGTACATAATAGTTTGGTATTGCTGTTTTAGTGGATCA